ATATTTTATTTATTTTTTTGAGACAGACTTACTGTGTTGCCCAGGCTGGAGTACAGTGGTGCGATCTCTGCCCACTGCAACCTCTCCCTCTTGGGTTCAAGCGATTCCCATGCCTCTGCCTCCCGAGTAGCTGGGATTACAGGTGCCTGCCACCATGCCTGGCTAATTTTTGTATTCTTTTTTTAGTAGAAAAGGGGTTTCACCATGTTAGCCAGGCTGGTCTCGAACTCCTGGACTCAAGCCATCTGTTCACCTCAGCCTCCCAAAGTCCTGGGATTATAGGCGTGAGCCACCATGCCCAGCCCCATTTAACCATGTTAAGTAGATAGTTCAGTGATATTAAGTACTTTCACATTACTGTGCAGCCATAACCACTGTCTCCAGAACTGTTTTCATCATCCTAAGCTGAAACTCCATACCCAAGAAGCCATCATTATCATTCTCTCCTTCCTTCAGCCCCTGGCAGCCACTCTTAGTTTGTGAGATATATAAGTCTTTTTTTTTTTCTTTTTGAGATGGAGTCTCACTCTGTTGCCCAGGCTGGAGTGCAGCAGTGTTAGCTCAGCTCACTGCAACCTCTGTCTCCTGGGTTCAAGTGATTTTCCTGCCTCAGCCTCCCAAGTAGCTGGGATTACAGGCACCCACCACCACACCCAGCTATTTTTTGTATCTTTTAGTAGAGACCAGGTTTCACTATGTTGACCAGGCTGGTCTCGAACTCCTGACCTCAGGTGATCTGCCCACCTTGGCCTCCCAAAGTGCTGGGATTACAGGCGTGAGCCACTGCGCCCAGCCGGTGAGTCTTGAGAGTGACTTACTTTCATTCTGAAATGATTTAGAGGGTGGAAGTTCCTTATCCCCTCCCCAAATCCAACCAGCCAGAGGCCTGCTTTGGAGGGAAAAGAGGTGCTTGAGTTGTCAGGGAGGTTTAAAACTCTGTCCTTCAGAGTTTCTTAGCTCTGCAAGCATTCACTTCTTGGGGAAATAAAATGGAGATGATAAGAAGAGCACCCATGTCGTAGGGTTGTCAGGAAGATGAGCTAATCCCATTCTCAAGCTAATCCAGGAAGCACAGGTACCACTGGGCTGCCACAGAGGGAATCCTTAGTCAATGGCAGTCTTGAGAAAGCCAGTCTCAGGAATAAGACCTGGGGGAGCCAGGGCTAAGGAGCAGGACTGATCCCCCAAGGACTTGTCCCAGTTCTGGCTGGTGACCCGTGGCTTCCTACTTCTTGGTTCTAGTCTGTAATCTTGCTACTCAAAGCATGGCAAATGAACCAGCGGAACTGGCGTCATTCAAGAGCTTATCAGAAAGGTAGTCTCTCTGTCGAGTGTGGTGGCTTATGCCTGTAATTCCAGCACTTTGGAAGGCCAAGGGAGACAGATTATTTCAGTTTAGGAGTTTGAGGCCAAGCTGGGCAGCATGGCAAAACCCCATCTCTACAAAAAATACAAAGAAAAAAAAAAAAATAGTTGGGCATGGTGGCACATGCCTTTAGTCTCAGCTACTCGGGAGGCTGACGTGGGAGGATCACCTGAGCCTGGGAGTTGGAGGCTTCAGTGAGCTATGATCATGCCACTGCACTCCAGCCTGTCATCACAGAGTGAGACACTGTCTCAAAAAAAAACAACAAAAGACAGACTCTCAGCCCCTCCCCAGACCTGCTGAATCAGAATCTGCATTTTGATAAGATCCCCAGTCATCTGTGTGCTGCTAAATTTGGGAAGCACTAGTCTGAGGGGTAACCCCCACACTTACTCTGAGACAGGCACTCTGCCAAGTCTTTTCCGTTCATTGTCTCACTGAAACAACCCTCTGATGTGGGGACTCTAATGACCCTCTTTTTCCAATGAGGAAGTTGAGGCTCAAAGAGTTTGTGTGTCTTGGCCAAGGTCACCCATCTAGTGAGGAGCAAAGCCAGGAGGGGAAACTGCAGCCTCTACCTTATTCCTGAAACTCAAAATATGGTAATACAGGGTGACGAGAGACACTCGCGATTCAAATGGGAGCATTCTAAGACCTCTTAAACCCAAATTTATAAAAGTGGAATTGTGGTTAAGTGTGGTGGCTCACACCTGTAATCCCAGCACTTTGGGAGACTGAGGCGGGTGGATCACCTGAGGTCAGGAGTTTGAGACCAGCCTGACCAATATTGTGAAACCCCGTCTCTACTAAAAATATAAAAATTGGTGTGGTGGCGTGTGCCTCTACTCCCAGCTACTCAGGAGGCTGAGACAGGAGAATTGCTTGAATCTTGGAGGCAGAGGTGGTAGTGAGCGAGATTGTGTCACTGGACTCCAGCCTAGGCGACAGAGTGAGACTCCGTCTCAAAAAAAGAAAAAAGTGGAATTGTTTGCTCAGGCTCCCAGGGTTCTCTTGAATACTATTTTAGTTTGAGGTACAATAAATTAAATCTTTGTTAAATTTATTTAGGAGCTTTCTCTTGAGGGCCTTTTTTGTGGGGCAAAAGTTGTTTTATTTCAAAAGTTTCAGGCTTAGCTGTATTGAAGAAGACCAGTTGCTTAAGCCTGGGCAATAGAGCGAGACCCTGTCTCAAAACAAAAAACAAAAAACCAGTCCACTGGGTTACATATTCTGGGTGGTCACTGGAATGATTTGCCAAGTGACTTTCTCCAGGCTCATAATGCCCACCCTTCATATTCCTGTTCCACCAAAATCCATATCATTAAATGTCAGTGAGCTTCAGGATAGTCTAGGAAGAACCCAAATAGTGAATTTGCTCTGAGTGTATAGTAATGTGTTCCATTATCCATCCTGCAGAAAACTCCTGGAAGGTGAAGAGTGTCGGATTGGCTTTGGCCCAATTCCTTTCTCGCTTCCCGAAGGACTCCCCAAAATTCCTGCTGTGTCTACTCACATAAAGGTCAAAAGCGAAGAGAAGGTCAAAGTGGTGGAGAAGTCTGAGAAAGAAACTGTGATTGTGGAGGAACAGACAGAGGAGACCCAAGTAACTGAAGAAGTGACTGAAGAAGAGGAGAAAGAGGCCAAAGAGGAGGAGGGCAAGGAGGAAGAAGTGGGTGAAGAGGAGGAGGCAGAAGGGGGAGAAGAAGCAGCAAAGTCCCCCCCAGCAGAAGAGGCTGCATCCCCAGAGAAGGAAGCCAAGTCACCAGTAAAGGAAGAGGCAAAGTCACCGGCTGAGGCCAAGTCTCCAGAGAAGGAGGAAGCAAAATCTCCAGCCGAGGTCAAGTCCCCCGAGAAGGCCAAATCTCCAGCAAAGGAAGAAACCAAAATCACCAGCGGCCAAGTCTCAGAAGGAGAAGCAAAATCTCCAGCCGAGGTCAAGTCCCCGAGAAGGCCAAGTCTCAGCCGAGGCCAAGTCTCCAGAAGGCCAAGTCCCCAGTGAAGGAAGGCCGAGTCACCGGCTGAGGCCAAGTCCCTGAAAGGCCAAGTCCCCAGCGAAGGAGGAAGCAAAGTCCCTGAGAAGGCCAAGTCCCCAACAAAGGAGGAAGCAAAGTCCCCCGAGAAGGCCAAGTCCCCAGAGAAGGAAGCAAAGTCCCCAGAGAAGGCCAAGTCCCCAGAGAAGGCAAAGTCCCCAGAAGGCCAAGTCCCCAGAGAAGGGAAGAAGCGAAGTCCCCAGAGAAGGCCAAGTCCCCAGTGAAGGAGGAAGCCAAGTCCCCCGAGAAGGCCAAGTCCCCAGTGAAGGAGAAGCCAAGTCCCCGAGAAGGCCAAGTCCCCGAGAAGGCCAAGTCCCAGTGAGCGAAGCCAAGTCCCCGAGAAGGCCAAGTCCCCAGTGAAGGAAGGCCAAGTCCCGAGAAGGCCAAGTCCCCAGTGAGAAGGAGAAGCCAAGTCCCGAAGGCCAAGTCCCCGAGAGAGAAGGCCAAGACTCTTGATGTGGGAAATCTCCAGAAGCCAAGGCGCCAGCGAAGAGGAGGAAGCAAGGTCCTGCAGACAAATCCTGAAAAGGCCAAAAGCCCTGTCAAGGGGAGAGTCAGTCCCCAGAGGCGGGAGTCTCCCCTGAAGGAGGATGCAAGGCCCCTGAGAAAGAGATCCCAAAGAAGGAAGAGGTGAAGTCCCCAGTGAAGGAGGAGAAGCCCCAAGAGGTGAAAGTCAAAGAGCCCCCAAAGAAGGCGGAGGAAGAGAAAGCCCTGCCCGCCAAAAGCGGAGGAGAAGAGAGGACCCAGCAAGAAAGAGGAGGCACCCAGAAAGAGGCTCCAAAGCCCAAGGTGGAGGAGAAGAAGGAACCTGCTGTCGAAAAGCCCAAAGAATCCAAAGTTGAAGCCAAGAAGGAAGAGGCTGAAGATAAAGAAAAAGCCGCCACCCCAGAGAAGAGGCTCCTGCTAAAGTGGAGTGAAGAAGAAAACGCTAAGCAAAAAAGAAGACAGAGAGTGGCAAGAGAACCAGATAATGCAAGGCAAAGGAACCCAGCAAACCAGCAGAGAAGGAGGCGGCAGCAGCACCGGAGAAAAAGACACCAAGGAGGAGAAGGCCAAGAAGCCTGAGAGAGACCCCAAGACAGAGGCCAAGCCAAGGGATGACAAGACCCTCTCAGGAGCCTGCCAAGCCCCTAGGCGGAAAAGGCTGAAAAATCCTCAGCACAGACCAAAAAGATAGCAGGCCTCCAGAGAAGGCCACAGAAGACAAGGCTGCCAAGGGGAAGTAAGGCAGGGAGAAAGGAACATCCGGAACAGCCAAAGAAACTTAAAGAGTCCCAGGCTCAAGGATCGGATTAACACAATTTCACTTTTTCTCTTTATGTAAGAAGAAACTGCTTTGATGGCAGGAGCCTCCTTCTTCAAACAGAATTTATTGTAATATGTTAGCAAGAGAGGCACTCCCAGGCCCTGCCCCACGCCCTCCCAGGCGATGAACAATTATGTTATGATAGCTTATGTAGCTGAATGTGATACATGCCGAATGCCACACGTAAACACTTGACTATAAAACTGCCCCCTCCTTTCCAAATAAGTGCATTTGTGCCTCTATGGCCACAGCAGATGACATAATAATGAATGAGCAGTTAGAAACACATTATGCTTGAATGTCTTAACCTATTCCCAAATGCCTTCTGTTTTCCAAAGGAGTGGTCAAGCCCTTGCCCAGAGCTCTCTATTCTGGAAGAGCGGTCCAGGTGGGGCAGACACTGTACTAGATTATGCCAAGCCTTGCTTTCCTGGAAGTCCACTTTCAATTTGCTTCTGTGCAATAAAACCAAGTGCTTATAAAATGAAAATGTTGCTGCTGCTGTTTATTCTCTTCCCCTGGGAAGGCTGGGGGCAGGGCAGGGGAGATCGGGATGGGACACCCAAGACTGCATGGGACTGAGCAAGCATCAGTTCCCTCGAGTCTAGAGCAACATAGTCTCTAGTGCTGTTTTCTGGGCACAAACCATGTGCCAGGCAGTGTGTAGGGCTTCATTTTCATGATCTGTACAGGTGGCCTGGTATGTGGGTTCTGGGTGTGGACTGTGGACTGCCTTCAGCAGCATCACCTGGAGCATTATAAAATGCACGCTTGGTGCGGGGCTCACGCCTGTAATCCCAGCACTTTGGGAGGCTGAGGCCGGTGGATCACGAGGTCAGGAGATTGAGACCATCCTGGCTAACACCGTGAAACCCCGTCTCTACTAAAAATACAAAAAAATAGCCTTGCGTAGTGGAGGCACCTGTAGTCCCAGCTACTTGGGAGGCTGAGGCAGGAGAATGGCGTGAACCTGGGAGGCAGAGCTTGCAGTGAGTGGAGATCGTGCCACTGCACTCCGCCTGGGTGAGCAAAGACTCTGTCTCAAAAAATAATAATAAAAATTAAAATGCATGCTTTCCCAGCTGTGGTGGCTCACACCTGTAATCCCAGCACTTTGGGAGGCCAGCGTGGGCGGATCACAAGGTCAGGAGTTCAAGACCAGCCTGGCCAACATGGTGAAACCCTATCTCTACTGAAAATACAAAAATTAGCTGGACATGGTGGCACGTGCCTGTAGTCCCAGTTATAGGAGAGGCTGAGGCAGGAGGTGCTTAAACCCCGAGAAGTGGGCTTGCAGTGAGCCAGATAGTGCCACTGCACTCCAGCCTGGGCGACAGAGCAAGACACTGTCTCCAAAAAAAAAAAAAAAAAAACACTCCAGCAGGACATGATGGCTCATGCTAATAGGCCCAGCATACCAAAGGGAGGCCAAAGTGGGAGGATCACTTGAGCCCAGGAGTTTGAGATCAGCCTGGGCAACATAGACCCATCTCTTGGGTTTTTTTTTTGAAAATGAGCTAGGGCAGGCATGGTAAGCAGATTTGGTAATCCCAGCACTTTGGGAGGCCAAGGCGGGCGAATCACTTGAGGTTAGGAGTTTGAAACCAGCCTGGCCAACATAGTGAAACCCCATCTCTACTAAAAAAAAATTAGCCGGATGTGGTGGTGCACGTCTGTAATCCCAGCTACTTGGGAGGCTGAGGCAGGAGAATCGCTTGAACCGAGAAGGGCAGAAGTGCAGTGAGCCAAGATTGTATCACCTGCACTCCAGCTGGGTGGTAGAAAGACTCCATCTCAAAAACAAAACAAAACAAAAAACTAACTGGGTGTGGTGGTGGCGCCTATAATCCCAGCTACTCAGGAGGCTGAGGCACGAGAATCACTTGAACCTGGGAGGAAGAGGTTGCGGTGGCGGAGTTGCGCCAGTGCCCTCAGCTGGGGTGACAGAGAAAAATAAAATAATAATAAAATTAGCTGGGTATGGGGCACACGCCTGTGGTCCCAGCTACTCGAGGCTGGTGGGAGGGCTGTTTGCCCAGGAGTTCCAGGCTGTAGTGAACTATGATCACACTGCACTCCAGTCTGGGTGAAAGGGTGAGAACTTTTCTCCAAAAAACAGAGAGAGAGAGAGAAATGGCTTTGATTGGTTGGCTCTTCATTATCAAACATGCCCAAGGACTCTATGAAAACCTAAGCATTAATTTTCTGAGCATCTCTTCCCTAGGGAAATCAGACAGACCTCCCCAAACCCTGCTTTATAAGCCACAGCATCTGAATATCCAACTGAGATCGAACCAGAAATTCCGTATTGTGTTTTTTGATGAGGAAAGTTGCAGTTGGTTGAGAACCTCCATTACTTATAATGATGACAAGTACCATTTGTTGAAAACCGTAACTTTGTTTTGTTTTGTTTTCAGACAGTCTTGCTCTGTCACCCAGGCTGGAGTGCAGTGGCACAATCTCGGCTCACTGCAACCTCCGCCTCCTGGGATCAAGCAGTTCTCCTGCCTCAGCCTCCCGAGTAGCTGGGACTACGGGTGCGCGCCACCATACCTGGCTAATTTTTGTATTTTTAGTAGAGATGAGGTTTCACCATGTTGGCCAGGCTGACCTCAGGTGATCCACCCACCTCAGCCTCCCAAAGTGCTGGGATTACAGGTGTGAGCCGAGCGTGGCAGAGATAATCATGTTTTTACATAAATTCTCCAATCCATATAGGCATTTTCAACACAGAGATTCGATGCCTATTTTAATGGTGAGAAAAGGGTGGGAGTAGGTGCCCAGAGCCACACAGCTAGTAAATGATAGTGCTAGAATTTGAACCCAAACCTTAACTCCAGAGTCCATGTTTTCTGTTATGCCATGCCACACAGTCTGAGCAAGCTGCATTGGTTTAATTTTGGTCATCAAATGACTGCTATGTCAGGTGTCAGCTGTTCCAATTCACCTGGGATATAGGAATTTCCCAAGATATAGGACTTTTAGTGTTAAAACCAGGAAGTCTGGGCAAATGAGATGAATTGTTCCACCTAATGTTTGGGCACAAGAATAAATTAAAAATTAATAAAATAGGCCGGGTGCAGTGGCTCAGCCCTGTAATCCCAGCACTTTGGGAGGCCGAGGCGGGTGGATCATGAGGTCAGAGTCAGACCATCCTGGCTAACATGAGTGAAACCCCGTCTCTACTAAAAATACAAAAAACTAGCTGGGCGAGTGGTGGCGCCTGTAATTTGCCAGCTACTCGGGAGAGCTGAGGCAGGAGAATGGCATAAACCGGGAGGCAGAGCTTGCAGGCTGAGCTGAGTCGGCCACTGCACTCCTTCCTGGGCGACAGAGCGAGACTCTGTCTCAAAAAAAAAAAAAGACCAACAAAATTGACAAACCTTTAGCTAGACTGACTAAGACTCAAATTACTAAAATCAAGAATAAAAGAGAAGGCATTAATGCCAACCTTACAGAAATATAAGGAATTATAAGGCAATACTGTGAACAACTGTATGTCTACTGATTCAATAATTTAGATTAAATGCATACACATTCCTAGAAATACCGCTATGAAACTGACTCCAGACAGAGTGAGAAAATCTGGCCAGGTGCAGTGGCTCATGTAATCCCAGAACTTTGGGAGGCTGAGCAGGTAGATCACCTCCAGGTCGGGAGTTCGAGACCAGCCTGGCTGACATGTGGCTCCCGTCTCTACTAAAATACCAAAAGTGCAGGCGTAGTGGCACATGTCTGTAATCCCAGCTACTCAGGAGGCTGAGGCAGGAGAATTGCTTGAACCCAGGAGGCGGAGGTTGCAGTGAGCCAAGAACACACCACTGCCTTCCAGTCTGGGTGACAGAGAGCAAGGCTATCTCAAAAATAAATAGGCCAGGCACAGTGGCTCACGCCTGTAATCCCAGCACTTTGGGAGGCTGAGGTGGGTGGATCACCGAGGTCAGGGCCGAGACCATCCCTCAGCTAACATGGTGAAACCCCGTCTCTACTAAAATACACAAAAAAATAGCTGGAGTGTGGTGGCAGGTGCCTGTAGTCCCAGCTACTCAGAGGCTGAGGCAGGAGAATGGCGTGAACCTGGGAGGCGGAGCTTGCAGTGAACCGAGATCGCACCACTGTGCTCCAGCCTGGGTGACAGAGTGAGACTCTGTCTCAAAATAAATAAATAAATAAAGAAAATAAGAAAATCTGAATAGATCTATCATAAATAAAAAAAGAGATTAAAGTACTAATTTTAAAACTACCCACAAAAAAAAAGTTCAGGTCAGATGGCTTCACTGGTGAAATCTACCAAACATTTGAGAAAATTTATACTAGTCCTTCTCAAAAGCTTCCAAAAACTTGGAGGAAACACTTCCTTAACTCATTCTGTAGAGGCCTGTGTATTACCTAAATACAGAGCCATAAAAAGACACCACAAGAAAACTATAGATCAATATATTTTATAAATACAGATGCAAAAATAACCAACAAAGTACTGGTAAAATCTGATCCAACACCATATTTAAAAGATCAGGCAGGGCGGTGGCTCATGCCTGTAATCTCAGCACTTTTGGGAGGCCAAGTTAGGCAGATCACAAGCTCAGGAGTTCAAGACCAGCCTGGCCAACATGGTGAAACCCTGTCTCTATTAAAATACAAAAATTAGGTGTGGTGGCACATGCCTGTAATCCCAGCTACTTGGGAGGCTGAGGCAGGAGAATTGCTTGAGCAGGAGGTGGAGTTGCAGTGAGCAGTCACACCATTTACACTCCAGCCTGGACAACAAGGGAAACTCTTGTCTCAAAAATAAATAAATAAATAAATACAGGCTGGACACGGTGGCTCATGCCTGTAATCCCCACACCTTGGGAGGCCGAGGCGAGAGGTTCACTTGAGATTAGGAGTTTGAGACCAGCCTGGGCAGCATGGTAAAACCCCATCTCTGCCAAAAAAAAAAAAAAAAAAGCAAAAATTGGCCAGGCATGGCGGGGTGAAGTACTTATGTTCCCAGCTACTCGGGAGGCTGGAAACCCAGGAGAATCACTTGAACCTGGGAGGCAGAGGTTGCAGTGAGCCAAGATTGCGCCACTGCACTCCAACAGTGTCAGGTAGAGTCTGTCTCAAAAAAAAAAAAAAAAAAGAAAAAGGAAAAAGAAAAGAAAATCAATTATTACTTAATATACTACCTTAAAGAATGAAGGGGAGCTGGGCACGATGGCTTGCACCTGTATTCCCAGGTATGTGGGAGGCTGAAGCAGGAGAATCACTTGAACCTGGGAGACAGAGGTTGCAGTGAGCAAGACTGCTGCTGCTCGGCGGGTGACACCGATAAAGTCTATCTCAAAAATAAAAAAAAAAAAGAAAAGAAAAAAAGAAAAATCGATTAATGTAATACACTACCTTAAA